CAGTCGCCTTCAAGCCCTACAACGGTACAGGAAAAAGAAACGAGACAAAAAACTCAAAATCAAGCTCAATCTTGCTACGGCTCGAGCAAAAAGGTACACACTGGAGCTTAGTCGGCTAAAATGGCAAACGCACTGTGGATCCTTCAACGAGAAGACGGGGTTAGGAAAAGCATGGCGCACGTACAAAGGGGTGTGCGGAAAGACTAAAAGCAAAGGGATGGGAGCCAACCTGGCTCTCGAACTTGGAATATCAGAAGCCGAGTTAGCAATTCAAGCTCGAAACAGCTTCTTCCCGCAGCCCATTACTTCCCCCCTAAGCATCTGCTACGAAAGATCGCAAATGGACGACCAAGCACCAGAAGGCGCTCCTTTTAACAAGGGGGAACTACTGGCGGCCATAGCCACAGCCAAATGCAACACAGCACCGGGACCCGACCATGTAACTATTGCTGCTATAAATAACCTCTCAGAAGAAGAACAGGAGGAACTTTTGAAATGGTACAATCAAATTTGGGAACAAGGCACCCTACCCAGAGAGTGGAAACACTCCACAGTAATTCCGAAACCCAAACCCGGCAAGCCAGCCAACGATATCGGAAACCTAAAACCTATTTGTCTCACCTCTAACCTGTGTAAAATAATGGGGAGAATGGTTTTAGCCCGTATTACATGGCTCCTGGAAACACAAAGTAGACTGCACCGTATGCAAACAGGATTTAGGCAAGGCCTCTCAACGCAGGACAGCTTGGCCATGATACACCGAGACATAACATCTACTCCCCCAAAAGGACAACCCCGTACCATCGTGGCAATTGACATTAAAAAAGCATTTGACTCCATACCGCATGAAACGGTCATAAAAGCGACCGAAAAAAAGGGGCATCCGAGGGAGACTGCTGAATTTTATAAAGTCCTTCTTGCAGGACAGAGCTTACAGTGTTCACATGGGCAGCACCAATGGACCGATCTCAAATAATGCGATTGGAGTACCCCAGGGTGCCGTTATCTCCCCCACGTTGTTCAACATGCCATGACGGACCTCGCTCTAGCACTGGAGAAAAATGCGGGAGAAGTAAATTTCACAATCTATGCTGACGATATTTCTATCTGGACGGCAACAGGGGAAGCTAAAACACCAGAGGAACACTTGCAAAAAGCACTTGACATCACAGTTGAGTTCCTTAAGGAAACCGGGATGAAGATCTCGGTTGAAAAGACAAACTATCTGGTTGTTGCAAGCAAAAAAGCCAGGCAGCAGAACATCGGGGACACCATCTGCTTTCAGATTGAAGGAACGAGGGTCGAGAGAAAGCCCAGCATAAAAATTCTTGGGCTAACCTTTGATGAAACCGGAGGCGCTCATAACTGGGTAAAACAAACGCAATCTCAATGGAAACAGGGACTCAGTTTGATAAGGAGAACGGCTAACAAGGCGTGGGGAGCAAACGAGAGTGCCTTGAAGAATATGACACGAGCACTGCTCATTACCAGAGTCATGTACGGGTTCAATTTCCTGCGGCTAACAAAAGCCCAGATAAGAAAGCTGGAGATACTTAACCATTCAGCCATGAGAGTGGTTACTGGGCTGCCCAAGTACGGATTTAAGACTTACGGATTTAAGAAGCGCCGCTCAGATGAACTCCCTCGAGGATATTGCAAACGAAGCGAGGAGAAGTCAACTCGACAAACTCGAAAGATCACCCGCCGGCCTTATCATCCTCCCAATGCTCGGAAAGACACCAAAACAAAGCTTCCACATCGCACCACCGAACCCTCCCTGGGAGGATGAGGCGGTAGTAGGCCTGAAACCCACACCGAAGTATCAAAACAGGACCCAACCAAAACGCAGGGAAAGCAAAGCAAAACGCCACAGGAAAGAAGTGGAGGCAATTCTTAAAATGGGGACCGCGGAAGTAATTTACACCGACTCCGCGAGGAACGAGGACGGAACCACGGCCATAGCAATGCACTCAGCTGGCACCGGCGAATCAAAAAGCAAATACCTGCTCAATAGCAGCAGCACAAAAACTGCTGAACTATTGGCCGTACACTGGGCTCTCGAAGAGCAGGTTCAGTACAATCCGGCCGCACACATGTACGTCTACACAGACTCCAGCGAAGCAGTCAAGGCGTGCAGAAGGACAGACTGTAGGAATAAGATTGCAAAAGACATCAAACATACAGCTAAGATCCTTCGCCTAAATGGAGGCAGTTTGCACATCCCATGGATACCAGGACACCAGGGAATCCCGGGAAACGAGGAGGCCCACGAGACCGCGCGGATTGAGCTACAAGCATCCCACGCCGCATTAGGTCACGAGGGCTCCCCCGTCACAACCCAACCAGAAGATCTGGACCTCAATGAACTGAAAGAGGCAAGTAGAACAGGTCGGAAACAACGACTGGCATCGCTGCTGCCCGGAGAGGCTTACCCTCTTCCATCCAATTACTCAAGGTTGGGGAGGGTATGCATTCGACGCATCGCCACCAACACAGCCCTAACACCTGTGCTGAGAAGGAAATTTTATACGTCACACGAAGAAGACGACCCTCGTCCCGACTTTAACTGCAAGACTTGCAAAACCCCGGCTACTTGTAAACATCTAATACGGGACTGCGAAGCAAACAAACAACTAAGACAAGACGCACCCCTCAGCATTCCGGAAGACGCACGACCTCAAACATACGAAGAGTGGGTAACCCCCTTGAAAGAAAACGCAAACAGGATCAAGATCCTGGACTCTTTACTCACCTACCTTAAGGCAGTGAACTTCACACACCTCATCTAACCCCCCTTTCCTCCTCACACCCTTCATCTCTTCTTAATCGCCCCGTCACACCAGATGACTTCAGTCAAGAGGTGTGGCGGACCCCAATCATTGTTAATAAACGTTTTCTGATCTGTGTTGCAAGCTGGTAATATAAGAATAAAAAATTCACTACGCGGTACTATACTTCTGGTGACTTCACTGATAACCTCATTCTTCTGTGAGCTCTATGACTTTCAAGAAGCGCCTTAGCTGCTGCAATCGAAGTTTACTTTAAAATAATTCGGGATATGCCATCTAATGGGTGCCCAAAGATTTTAGGAACAAAGGGAACTCACGTGCTGTAGACATGGCACCTGCCGTACTTTAGTATGGCGGCAGGCTCGGCTCCCGACGTGTTCCGCAATAAGTTTGTAATATGCCTTACCGCAGTTCGAGGGACTTGACACGTAGTCCGGCACCGCATATCCCTAACAGCCAAACTAGAAGTTGATGAGATAGCAAGGCTTGTGAATAGTACGCAAGAGAACGACAAACGTCCACGCTCCGGAGAAACATCGACCCGCAGAGCAGCCTCGATCGCTGACCAGGAACCAAGAGCGAATATTTTGCCTGCCCCCCCCCCCCCCCTCCCCCTAAGTTAAGGCCGAAAAGAAGCACCTATACCTTCAATCTGTCAACAAACAAAAAATTAGTAAAGCCTGGAGGCCAACACAGGCAACACGGGAGTGTCCCCAAAACCAAAAAACTGCTTCCAAACCCCATTCCTTCGCTCCCCTTTCGCACCAGCTCAAACAATTTTTGACGCATCGAGGTTAAGATTCCCGAATCAGAATCTACAGATAAAGAATAACCGGTTCCACCTGGCAGAAAAATAAAAACTGGGTTCGAGGATTTTGAGGATGAAACGATGTGCGCATTCGGAAGGAGATGGAAGAACCGCTTTCGAACGAGTTTGAAAGAAAAAGTTAACACAGAATACGCAGGCAGCAAGATCTTCCTTGGCCGTAGGAGTGCCCCCACTCGTTTGAAAATGTGCTCGCGCATTTTTGGAAATGGCCAATGGACCCTCTTCTTGTAAGCTTCTGCGCATGCGTACACTCCCGCCGTCGCCATTTTCGCAGGGCATCGGGACGGTGCCCCGTGAAAATGGCGAGAGTAACATTGTCAGCATCTATCTTCGCGCGTATTTAGTCTATTTTGACGCTTCGCTTTTTTTTTAGTATCGGTAGTATGGGGTATAAAGAGCACTGAAAACCGATACAACGGTACGATTCCAATGCGTTTTGACGGGCGGAGGCATGTTGTACCGAGCGTTGGCGTCACAATCCTCTGCTAACAGAAGCCCTCTAGCTTCAGACAAAAAGTGTGGTCCGGGTGTAAAATTCGGATGACGTCACCAGCACTTTGGTAGCTCCAGAAGTGACGTGCCATCAAAAAAAAAAACTTGTGAAAAAATTTATTTAGGGACTGACTGCGGTTTGCTCCTGCCTTGTTTCCTGTTCTGTGTTCGGTCGCTTGGTTCAAGTTTAGCTTTGTCCTGGGGTCTGGTGATCGCTCTACAGTCCAACAATTGTCCCGGCGACATTTTTTTTAATGGGTGAAAAATGTATTTAAAAATATGAAAATAAAAAGCGGGAAAGACAAGGACAATGGGGAAGTCTACACAAGACGAGCACTTACTCTCAACTGACATTTCAATTCGGAAGAGGACAAAGATGAAAACATAAAAAAAAAAAAAAAAAAAAAACGTCAAGCCGAGAAATAATTTTGAAAATGAAGCGAAAAAATCTGAAAAGAGAATGAAAGAAGGATAAAAAAAGGAAAATTAGTATAAATGAAAGGGAAAGGTGTGCGTGATTAAATTAACAGGGTGAGAAGTAGAAAGAAAGAAGGTAAAGCAAAAAAAAAAAATAAGGAAAATATTTTATGAACTCTAATTCTTTTGATGACAAAGTCACAGATGGAGCACTGATGAAGTAGCCTCTTTTGGTCGCAATGACTTCAGCCTCAAAAATATCGCGTAAGTATTGTTACAATTGTATTATCATTGTGCTACAGTTGTTCTTAAGATACTGAGTACAAGAAAGCGAGAAATGTAATTAAGGTAGAGTAGCAAACACTATAGACGACATGTATTTGCAAGATACCAAAATACTACCAGATGTATTTGGAATACGGCATACCTTGAGTACAGTGTTTAAGATAAGTAGATCTCTGTCTTGAGCTTACCATAACAGGGTACGGCTCCTCGTCCGCCTTCATGCGGTGCCGCAAGCTGTCCGGGCTCTTCGTGGTCTGCTTGACAGCCCTTTTGCGGGACATCGGCTTGAGATAGACGAAAAGCAGCGCGACGACGACCACAACCTGCACGACGATGATCACGACGCCGATGCGTACGATGAACGTCTTGTAAACCTTAAGTGCCGAGGGCTGCGCGCCTTCGCTGATTGTTGTATTGGACAGGGCGCTCCCGTCAGACATGCTCAAGCTGCTACGGAGCCAGTTGGCTGAATCTATAGGGGACGTGGATTGGAAGGTCTTGTTCACAAATAAGAACACTGGCTGTCGGTGCACGCAGCGTGCTCTAGAAGGCGGCGTAAAACAACGGGAATGCACGCCTCTAAACTTCGTCGTCCTTGACTATTTCCTTCCGTTGTCTCGCTCTTTGCCCCTTTGTTTCACTGTAAGCGCAAGCGAGGCCGAAACTACAAGCGCGAGCATGCGGCCCTGAACAGTGCCTGCACTGCACGTGCGCGAGAGCTTGGCAGGGAAGCTGAACGCCCGGAGCTCGCTCTTGTAGCTTCTGCAACGCTCACACTGAAAGGGAAACGCAGCGCGGCGCGGAGCACGTGGAGCGAAATCTCGCTTTGCTGCATAGCTTATGAATCCCGGGCAGCAAGAACACAAATATCAGCGCTGATTTTTTTTTTTCAAAAAATTCAATAGTCGATGTTACCTCTTAGGTGTATAAAATACCCTGTCCACTGAACTCTCCAAATATATTGAAGCGCTTGGATCGGACATGTATGTCACAAAAAAACGTTTTCGCTAACAACTTCTTTAGCTCAATAATTACACTGTGAGGTACACATCTTGAGTTATGGAAGAATCCGAAATTAACACCTATACTAAAAAATTAAATCCAAAATAGAGGGTTGTTTCGGTTTCGTTCCACAATTAAAACGTGCCTCCTGGCGTAAATGTCCCGCTAAACACCGTTTTTATGTTTACAATAAGGTGACCGGCGTTCATAACTAATGCCTCTGAATAAAAAAGGAAGCGGCATCTCCCTCCTCCTCTGACGCCCACACCTTTTATCTTTATGTTTTGCATTTTTACACCCGCGCGTCAACTGTAGCGCCGCCTAGATTGGCCCAAGGTAGCAGACGGTCTTCCTAGAGCTAGCAGTGCTATTGCACTGGCATATCTACAGCGGAAACACGCCCACTGGGGATCACTTTCCGCCCGCAAATTGGGTTATGGGGATATTTATACAGCGTGTAGTTGGTCAGCGATTTAAAGTTGCGACGAGTCACTCGCTGTAGATGAGCAGTTTAGCCAGTGCAGTACAACCGCTAGCCTGGGTTCTTTAACGTGCACCACGCAGTAGTGATACACGACCGCACGCCGGTACGATGCTCATCCAGATCGAAACGGGCTGCCGAAACCGCCCGCTGCCAGATCCAGATCGAAACCGCCCGCTGCCGAAACATACACACAACACAATAGACCGATCTCACCACGGCCCGACCAAATACGCGCTCGCTGTCTTACGGCTTCTCCAGTCAGGTACGACAGCGCCAACAAGGTAGAGGGGCTTAGAGCGATAAATTGTGGCAGGCAAAAGTGACCCCCAACTGTGGTCAAACATGTGCGACGTGACGACGGCCGGGGGGGGGGGGGGGGGAGAGGGGAGAGGAGGGGGGAGTCACTTTCAGCTGCCGGTTTATCGCTCGCAGCCCTTCACTTCGTTGGACAGCACCTATGTTTGCAAAGCGGCACTGGGCGGCCAAGAGCTGCGCCGTCCGAGGGCGCTTCATAAAATAGCAAGTCGTTTTTCGGATGTGTTGCAAGTTTTAGTCATGTATTTCACGTTTTTCATGTTATACAATATTTCTGGAACGAATTGTTTAAAATCGTCAAATATTTAGATTACTTAGAGGACATAGCATACACATAGTGAACTCCCTCCCTGCCCAAACAGGCAAAAATTCCGAAACTCAGCGGGAGCATGCAGTATTAAACGACCCTTGGAGTCCACCCTCTCCAGCGTTACGCACGTTGTGATGACGTTGTCCGAGCCGCCGGGAACGCGAGACAGGTGGCGCTGCGCGGTATCATTAGCTAGAGTTCCTGTATATAGCTATATAGGGAGCATATCGAGGAACTCTATCATGAGCCAGAGCCCTCATTAGCTAGAGTTAGCCAGAGTTGTCCGTTCATCTCCATAGCGCCGTCTTTCCTGCACGGCATGTTGATCCCGCTCGTCACGTGACTGAATTCGGCGAATAGCGGCGCCGAACGTTCAAGGCGCGCGGCGCGCTCAAAAGCAGGGGAACGTACGCCGGGGCGCGTGCAACGTCTACTTTCCTGCACTGCACTTGATCCGGCTCCTGACGTGATCGCGCAACTCTGGCTCCCGTAGGGAGCCTGTTGGTGACGTGAGCGATCGAAAGCGTCGCTGTGATCGGTCTTCCACGATAGGCCGAATACTGACTATGACGTCAGCTAAGGATTTCCCATCGACGGAAATAAGTGGAATGGAAGAACTTGGAATTTTGACGGTGTTGGCAGTGTTTGTTTGAGAGTGCTGTAATTTCAAGCTTCCACCATGCTCTTTACCAACACCTTCAAACTTGTTGTTCACAAGGTAATGACGTCAAACCATAGGAGGGCGCCACCAAAACGTCTCGCCGCCAATAGAGGAACTCTATCACTAGCGATGACGTTCACAGAAATCTACAGGCCTCGCTACTCTACCCTACGCATCACTATAGGCAACCGGCAACGCAGTTTGGCACTACACATTGCGCCATCTAGCGGCTGCAAAATATAAAAGCGGGTAGGCCAGGACGATGCGGGTCTCGGGGACTGCGGGCGGCCGCATTCAGAAACCACGTGCGAACGTTGCCTTTCGGATCTGCATGAGCTCTTTTGGAACCGATTTTCGTAAAAGTAAGTCCCAACTTCACGTCTCTATGACCTCACCGAGTTCCTGTCACATCTCGCCTACTTCTAGAGTTTCCCCAAAAAATAAACGTCGCTGCGTGAAAGACGGCCGCAGTCACGAAGGTGACTCAACCTTCAAACTTTACCGCTTCCCTTCTAGATTTTGGGAAGCGACACGGCGACAGAAGTGGATTTCTGCGGTGCGATGAATCAAGCAAATTAATTTTACTGAAACTGTTGAAGTGAACGAAAATATATGTGCCGGCTTGGAAAGTGGTCTGACGAAATTGTTTTTCAGTCTACTCGGCAAAATAACATATTTATAGAAGTTGTATTACGAGTCGCTTAAACAGCCAGATAGGGAAATACGGTAGGAAAAATCGGGCCGATTGTTGCTTCGCTGTGACGTCGAGGATCGGGCGATTAGGTCTTCAAGCGAGAGGCCCGTCGGCCCGTTCCGACACTCGTAATGCCATTAGGCTGGCGCGGTCGCAATCAAAACCTTCCAAACCTGCGAGCCCTCAAATAGTGGGTTTTCGTGGCACAATGTTTTGTTTGTTTCGGTACCCAAATTTAATGCTGGGTCTGGCAACAAATGTGACGGCGTGCAGAAATCAGGAGGCTAAAGTTTTTGTTTAGAAAAAGCGCGTGCGAAGCGTAAATATCCTTCTTACACGTACACTTTGTTGCCTGTTGCCTCTTTACAGCAGTCTTCGCAATATGCGTATGGTTCTCTAGCATGCAGAGTTTGGTTCTATAAATTACCCACATTCTATTCCAGTGTGTGGGGGCGTCGGAAGAAGGAGAGGACGGCCGAGCGAGGCGCGAGCGGGGGGTCCAGCCGGCGAGAAAAGAGGAAGAGCGTGGTGCACGAGGCTGGGGCCGGGCAGGAACGATAGAGCCGTTCTGGCTGGTCTGGCCTTGAGCCACTAAATGAAGCGTAGCTTATTTAGTGGCACTATTCTGGCCCATGGCAATCCCCGCGACCATTCCACCAGCGAGGTTCGGATCAGGACCGGCGGAAACGGCGAGCCCTGGCCATACGGGCCTGGGCTATGACGATCTCGGGGTGGCTCCGCTGCAAGACCCTGGCTGGCCCGGAACAGCTAGCCTACGCAGCGCTGGCGTACGGGAAGGACGATTCACAGGTCTGGACACGGACTCCGAGCTCAGAACAACGGGCGACAACTACGGTCGACGGGTCTGGCTGCCCGTCCGCGAACACGGGCAACCGGGTAGTACAGACCGATCTCACCAAGCGTTCCACGCATGCGTGACGCCGCCATAACTGTAGTTCATAGGAGGCAGATGCCAGTTCACGAGACAGCTCATGCCGCCTCGTGCTCTGCTCGCGCAGACCTCCAGCAGGGTTGTCGCGCGTGCAGAAAGACTACAGCTCCCACGATGCTTGGCGGCAGCGGTGGCGTACTCAAACTAGCTGGTGAGATCGGTCTATTCGTTGTCTTCTCGTTCTGTTGTGTCACTTCCTGGGAGACGAACGAAGCACATACCGATCGGGTGGCGATTATTATAACGCGACCCCACAAGTGGTGAAGACAACTCAAACTGGTGTCCAAATTACAACTCTAGAATATGCTCTAAACACTTCGGCCTATCAAGGCTCCCGATGGTCTTAAAAAAACTCATAAAAGAACCAGGGGCATGGCGCGCACTTGTACACGGGTACTGCTGAAATCGGGATCGCCGCCGCTCGCCACGGTTCGACGGGCAGACTGGCCGCCCCATTAACACAAACGGCTCCGCTTGTGGCGCTGAATGCAGCACTCTTGTGGCGCCGCCTGGCCATTGCCGGCTGGCTATTGGAGTTACGAAACAGATTATTTTGAGATTTCGGCGAGTTCTTGGAGGACGACGAAGTGTTCGGATTGCGAGCAGTACTTTTTCTCAGGTCAGCAATATTTTGTATTATTGTATCAGAACACTCTTCTAATTTTCACTTAATTGCATTAGTAAGTTGCAACAGAGAACATCGGTTCTCCCGGCAAGGGAGAACCAAGCATCTAGCGGCGATGACCTCCCAAAAACAAGGGACGTTAAAGGGGGTCATGAAACGATTTTCCTACTTCTTCCTCCTTAGCTTTAATCCTCAACTCAAATGCGAATTGTAAAATCACGTCGTAGTGACATTCTTCGGCATCGGTGCGATGACTCCTAGGTTCCTCCGTGCTTTTTTATGCACACCATAGAACTTTTCCTTCCCCAGTGACGATAAGTTCCGTCAGGGCACTCATTCGCCACGAACGCGAATCCAAATATTCGTCGACGGATTGATTGTTGACGAGTGCATACGT